TATTCATCCCTGGAATTGAGAATCGTACTACGGGCCCACACACTGCGCCATATCCTAGAGAGTAAACGGGTATCCAATATTTCATCCTGTGTCAACCTAGACACTATGCTTCCAAGAATTCCTTCTTCTAATTCACTGATTCGGTCCATCGAGTTGGACGAACCCTATATTATTGTACAAGAATCAAAACCAAACTATCAAACACAACACAAAAACATAAATCAAGAATCAAAATAAGTATCAAAATTCAAGAATACGATGATATTCTGGCCCAGATCTCATGGTTCGTCCTCAAATGAAATATTATTATATTCAAATAAAGCAGAAAATTAACAAGAAACATAAATCAAGAACAATCATTGAGAATGAGAAACTTGATAGTCGATCGTACCTGGCCTGGAGCAACTTGATGAGAAGTTTGAGGCCGCGTTGGATCCATTGCCATTGAAACTGAACGCTAGTTCTCACGGCTGCAGCGACGGAGTAGCGAAGCGAGTGAGGAGCTGATAATACTCTAGCTATCTCTTCTCAACCTTCAATCACATATAGCAGAAAAAATAGTTAACGAAGGCACACTAAACTCTCCCCGCCTAAACCGCCTCCCTCAACAGCTAATCCAACAACCAGTAACCAATTAACATCCAGCTGTTCAAAAATTGCCACGTAGACCCCCAAATAGGTGCCAATTGGACAATCCACGCTGTAATAATATCTTTTTAATATTTCATTTTATTTATTTTTCTGTGTTTCTTTTTTTGAGTTGCTAATTCTGGGCTACAATGTTACTCATATTTTGAAATGTAAAATTAGGCCTGTGGGCCTTTTTCTTTTTTCTTTTTTTTCTTTTTGAGAGAGAGAGAGAAGTGGGCCATCGGGCCATAATTGTTATCACTTCTTCTTTTCTTAGCCCAAAATATTAAGACAGAACTCAATATAATACCTCATTCCTCATTTAATCTTATTAGGATTGGTTTCACACTAGTTTAGACCATCGCTTGTACTGAAAAATAAAAAAAATCTTATTATCAACATTAGAAAGAGAAGTATAGCATATGAGTAATTAGGTTTAATGGCATAAACAACCGTCGTGGTCTTAACAAAAATGACACAAATAAGATTACGGTTTCGTTGATGTGTATGATGCAATCGTTAAGCCGAGAAAATAACAATGTCCTTTGAAAATGGAAAACAAATTCAAAAGAAATGAAATTTGGTTTAAAATAACCATTCATTAGATAATTGTAGATATTAAACAGTATCCTCAAGCTCAACCTCTACATGACAATGGCTTGTAGACATCATCAACCACAAAGAAAATCTTATTGCTTATGCAACCAAAATCTATTTGAATGATCCCTCAATAGAAGTTTTATATATATATATATATATATATATAATTAAAACTTGACTCAAGATCTGTGCAGGCAACTTGGGTTCTAATTGTTTAAGGAAATGCTTGAAACCAACCTGTGTTGAGAGCAACTTCATATGCCTAATACCTCATTTTTGCATCAGAATATCACCAAAGATACCCCATAGGGTTTAATTTTCAGACTTTGGATTAGAAAAACATGTTTTCCACAAGATGATGTATACAGAACTATTAATCTAGTGCAATATTTGCATCAGAATATCAAATCAGATCAAGCAAACAGGTTCTAGTTTTACATGTCAAAACAGTACAGATCTACCAGAAGCTCAATCTTGCCTAGGCAATAAGTCACCCGTATTATTTAGACCTTTAAAAAGTCTCTCTCTCTCTCTCTCTCTCTCTCTCTCTCCGTATTCATTGAGCAATCATTTTCAGATGTGCTGAAACTCAAAAATGATATATTCAATCACTTTAGCCCTGATCCCATTTAGACATTTACGTTGCAGTCAAACATTAATAGACATTAACTTGTAAACATCATCAACTATACAAAAGAGTAGAGAATCCTACATTGCTTATGGAAGCAAGATCTGTTTTTGCTTCCTCAGTTTGACATTGCATTGCATAGACACATCAACTTGTAAACTCATCTGTCATGCATTTTTATTCAACTGCAACATCAGGCCGCTGAGCTTTTCAAAATCATCGAATCCTGGTGGTTTATCACTATGAGCCTTCCAAAGGAAATCCTAAGAAATTTATCATTAACAAATTGGTCAAAGCTACTCAATTCGTTTAAATTTTCAAGATTTCTGTAGACACACATTTTGGACACAAAGAGCCGAGTTGTTTTCATAGCTATCTCGTCTGCCACCATTTTCAATCCTGGAATTACAAAAACAGATTTTGCTCAGGATCATGTATGCAAAAGTATTCATCTATAGTAGACTAGTGCTCAAGCCATCTTGGCAATGGCAAGAGATAGCTGTTTTTGGACATGTACAAAATTGTTTGCAAAATTATTTGCATGCAGAGGGTAGGCACAAAATTATTTGGGTTCATGGTTGGTGATAATTAAGAATGAGGTTTCTTGACAGGTCAATAGAAAAATGCGAGAATTTGATAAGTTCCGAGGGAGAAAAACATGTCATGAAACGTATTAAAATGGAGATATTGGAGAAAACCAAATTGAATACCAAGTGTTGAATAGCTTGTTTTTTTGGCTGAGATGAAATATATGATGTGGCCAACAAAGATTACTTGCTAGTGATTACGGAAGGAAGTAGTGTTTACTATGTGTGTTATGTTTGAAATTTTTATTCTTGATGAACTATATTATTATTTTCATGAGGAAAGAAGTGAAAAGTATGTCAAGCGGTTAATAGTGCAGTGAAACAACACAAACAGTCAAATCCACAGCACTACAGCATATACAACAACTCATAAAAACTAGTTGCCTTAACAACAACTAAACATGTAAATTCAACACCTGTTAACTAATTCACAACCCAGTTGTCACAAAGTTTGTACTCTCTTTTCATTTCTTGAGTTGCTAAACCAGAATTTAACATCTTTTTTTATTTAATCGCGCTATGTTTGTTATATAAGATATTTGATAATTAAGAGAGGAAGGATATTGAATTGAAACAACTTTCAACATTCGATTAGAAATAGAAGTATCAATAGATTAGTACTTATGTTCGTTTACATCAACAATGGTCACTGATCTTATTATCCATCACTTATCTCCTGCTATATCATGCAGTTTCCGTTATCTATGACCATGATGTACCGTTCCATCTAAGAGAAGAATGATGTTCTTCGAAAAAAGGAAACCAAATTAAAAAGAAATAAAATTTGGTTTAAAATAACCATTTATTAGATACCTGTTGAGATTAAACCGTCTGAACACCCTCTACATCATATTCACTAGCTAGCTCCCATCCAAAAGAAGATGACAATAACTTGTGGACATCATCAACCACAAAGAAAATCCTATTGCTTATGCAAGCAAAATCTGTTATAATGCTTGCTCAGCTTTGTATTATAATTGTGTTGTTGTTGTCCCCATGAAAACCCAAAGAACAAAAATGGAAAAAGAAAGCCATGACGCAAGAACTGTGCACGCAAACTTGGGTTCTAATTGTTTAAGGTAATTGCCAAGAAAACCAACTTAAAATCCTACTGCTTATGGAAGCAGGATCTGTTTTTGCTTCCTCAGCTTGGTGGAAAAGTTTGACATTGCATAGATTCTCATCTGCCATACATTATTCAACTGCAAAATCCGGCTGCAGCTGTTGAAAAAATCATTTGTTTCTTGACTAAAAAAAATATCGAATCCTGGTTGATCCTTATCCTAAGAAATCTGTGATCAACAAATTGGTCAAAGTAACTCGATATCGTCTAAGTTTCCAAGATTTCTATTAACCTCCGGATTACGAAAACAGATTTTGCCGAATACCATATCAAATGTAAAACTATTCACCTGTAGCAGCAGACTGGTGTTCAATGTTCGCATCATCAGAATATCACATATCTCACGCGACACAATATCTCCATTGAAAACAATTAAATAATCTTTGTGTATCTGTTTACAATCTAAACTGGTAGTAAGTAAGTTCAACACTTGAATATTTCTTTGAAAATGAAGAATCTACGTCAGATAAGGAAAATCAGATTTTCAGATAAGCTATGAAAAGTAATAAAATACTGCCGCCTCTGAACAAGTCTCAATCATGCAAGGCAAAAACTTGGTATAAATTATTATTGGTCCATAAACAAATTATAGTAAAAACAAAATAATGGTTGGTTGGACTGATATTCAAGTTGAAAGCTGAGAATCCATAGCAAATCTGAGACGTGATTTAAGCAAAGATATAGACAAGTTACTAGATTTAAAGATAATACGAAACAAAATCAAGCATTAAGATTGCAGTTGAAATTTCAAAACATGGACCAAGAGAAACTCTGGCAGTTTATGACCGTTGCTATTTTAGGTTTGACCAAGTCCAAGTGTTTCCCGCTTCATCGGAAAGAGCATTATATATCTTTGTCATTAGCCAATGTTAATTTCGTTATTAGTTCCTTGTCTCATTTGATCAGTGAGATCTTGGACCAGGTGCGTCAAGATCTTATAAATCTCTAAAATCTCGAATTCGATTTTATGATAAGGCAGCTATAGATGACAAACCAGAAAAATTAACTTGTCTTGTCCCAATTTTGCATGGTTGCTTCCAACTCAAGTAGGATCATAATTGACACATAATGAACTGTCAAAACGACAACAAGTTGCTATATATACTGGGTCACGCACTTTAATCATATACCAAATGAGAACAAAAAGACTTGCTTCATCATCTTTTTCACTTTAAAAGACCAAATAACCATCTACGCTCCTCCTCACAACAAATAGATAGAGTTTTACTCCTCCTCGTAAGCTTAGCTCCTTGACGATGACAAAAATGTTGGTTCCATCGAAACAACCCTTTATATCATTTTCATATATCTAGTAGGTTAGATTAATAATCAATCACAACTAAGGTCATTTGTAATAATTTCTTTTTTCTTGGAGTTATTTGTAATCATAAATTTGACCCTTACGATTAGTCTTTTTCCTTTATCTTTATACTCGCTTTTAAGCTTGAATTTTAACCTATCTATCAAATGATAGAATATTGGAAATGAAAGAGAGGTCTAAGTTCTTTCTAACCATGGCCCATTTTTTTAATTTTAGTTTTTATTTTTATTTTCAAGCGGGGCAATAAACGACAAGCAAGCAATACATAAACCAGCATAATAATTAACTTGGTAATTAAATAATCGCATAACCTTTTTCTTTAAGCTGTAAACAACTACACTACTTTGACGAAATAAAATTATATTTATAGTTCTTTTTTAAATCTTTTCACGGTTGGAAAAGGTTATCGGAATGGGGATCAATTTCTGAGCTTCTTCTTCAAAAGAGGTACATGAAGAAGTTAATTATTTTGTGCCTAGGATTCTCATTTCCCTCTTGCCTTATCGTTTATCTTTTGGGCAACAATGCGAATTGTGGCAGATTTTAAAATCGCAAAAAGGATTTTGGTGTGGGGCGTTTTGTTTTGTGTACTGTGGGCGTTTGGAGTCAGAGAGTTTGTCTACTCCCTAAGGGCCAAAGTTAAGAATATCATAGCGTGACATAAAAAGAGAGATGCTAGAGATCCCCAGCATCATATGGACCCCCAAGATTGATTGTTTCAACTTGCCTCTGAAAACCTACGAACTATAGTTTCAATGTGGTTTTTTTCTAAAATTTGAAATAAACCGATAATGATAAGAATGGTCGATGCACACTTAGACGGCTGCAAGTCATTGATTGTTATGAATCCAACAATATATAACTCAAATAAACAATTGTCATCAATTATGTGGACGGCTGAATGCTAGTCAAATCTTCGGACTAAACTATACCAAATATTTTAAATAAATATAAATATTATTGAACTTGGATGATTGATTGAATTCGAAAATATTTGTTGATTAGGGTTTGACCACTGAGCAGGATGATGTGTGTAAATAATGAATTTAGAAAACAATGGCTAAGGCGGTGTGACTTTGTATACAAGAAATGATAAACGTGAGGGAGCCTAGATTGGAGAGCACCTACAATTGCGAGCCATTCCAGTGGCAGTTTAGAGGCCGGTTTGACATTTGACATACGTACTTATAAAACTTATAAATTCAGAAACAAAATTAATATTTGACCTTTAATTATATAAGAGATGTGCTTCTAGGTCTACTGCACTTTAGTTAAGGTTTCGTAATCACACGATAAATGGTATATTTAACTATATCTTAATTTGGTTGACTTTTGCTAATTAGGTTCTGACTTTTAATGTTTCAACATAAACATATAATCGGTTATTACAGGTACAATGTACTTAAAATACTTGTAAATTAGATGCGCGTGCCCAACTGATTTTTGTGACTTATGTTGCTTCTGAATTCTGATGTTGCTTTTATGAATTCGAATATAGAATATTATCTGACTTCTAACACAAGCTGTGTTGACTTAATGAACATTTGGCCTAATTATTTAACATGTTGCTTCAAGTCCTACGAACAGTGCGTGGTTTGTTTCAAATTCTAAAAATTGGTTATTTTCAAAAGATTATTTTATATCACTAAACTAAGAATTAGTTTATTTTCAAAATTAAGTTGAAATGGTGATTACGAGATTCGAATCGTTGGAAATAAAGTAGTTATAGGAAAAACCATTTCAACCACCATTTTCTAATATACTGATGAATTAATCTTACTTTTTGTTTCTTTATCAATAAACTAACAAACGGAACTCGTCTAATAAATCTTCATTCGACCACTCTTTCGTCCTAATATTTGTTTTATAGCCAAAGCCGTCATAGTGTACAACCATTAAGGAAGGCGTGGTGGTACTATTGTTGACTATTGGAATATATATAATATTTCAATGTCAACAATTCAATTAAAATTAAATAAATAAACAAGGTATAAACTATTAAATATGCCTACCAACTTCTCCCCTAAATGCAGCACTTAGGCCATCTGCGTCCTTTCGCGTACTTAGAGAGTCTAGGTCAATTAAAATTTAATTGAAGAACATATATAGTTGACATTTTTGGCTCTCCGTCAGAGCATTTGAGTTAAAGCATCTTCAAATGAGATTTGACTACTCGGTTAGAGTAATTTCAACTTTTATTTTTTATCATTTCATGTCTATGTGACAATTTAATCACGAGTTAAAGTTAAATATACTTTTGCATGCTTAGGATAAAATAAAAAAATTAACAATTGCTTCACCCTTTGAATGGCCTAACCATTCGAGACTTGCAAGTTGTAAAACCTACCATTTTTTGATTGATTAATTGCAGACTAGATAAATATGATTGTTATGTATAATTTATACGGCTACAACCAATGAAGATTTTAATATTCATGAGGCAGAGGGCCCGTGAATATAAAATTTTTGCTCTCAGATTACACCTTCCAGTTTATTGGTGTAAATTCAAGTAACCGTAATACTTTGATGGCCAAAGAAATGGACGAATGATTAAAACTTGCATGTATCATCCCCTACTCTACAAAAAATTTGATTTCTCCTCTTTTACGATCCAGTGTTATATCGTGAGACTGTCAATTTTAGTTTTTCTTTTAGAAAATGAAATAAAGCATGAAAGAAGATGTCACTAATGATCACTTAACAAGTAATCATGCACTATAAGCGCGAAACAAACCAAAACAAAATGGAAACTGAGAAAATTTAAAATAATAAAAAAATCATTTAATTTAATTTATATTATGTGGAAGTGGCAGACAGGGGATGTCGATAGGATCACAACGTCAACAGGATATTGAAGCTAGGCTGACGTCAATATTTTGTTTAATATTTGATCAATTAAATTCTCAAACACTTAAAATAATGTAATTAATTAAATTAATTAATATATCATTTGGTTTCTGAGGAAGGAGGGACGAGAATCAGCCGCTATTTAAGCCGTAAACTCCAAACTGTAACCACCACTTAAAAATGAGACTAGAGAGCTAGCTTAGAGTACTTCTTCTTCTACTCTCTGACACAGACAAGTGCCTGGCTTTTGAGGCTTTCTAGAGAGAGAGAGAGTGTGTGCTTAACGGCGAAATTAATCTTTCAACTCCTTTCCGGCCAAAATGATAGCCTACCTGGAGTGTTTCGTTCACGAAAACGACACTGAATCGAGGCCGGACGATGACGTTTCCAGCCTCTCCAAGGCTCTGGACCTCAAAGGCAGTATCCACGACTGCGAGGGGCCCACCGATGAGGCCTCCAGAGATTTCGGCGGCATGAATTCCCTCGCGCCGCTCGCTTCTCGAATCTGACGGTGGCGGCGCGAGGCAACGGCCACTCGATCAACGGCCAGGCGATGGCGGATCGAGGCCTCGTCTTGGACATGCGGTCCTTGGACGACCATTTCCGAGTGGTAAAAGCGAACAATGACTCCTTTTACGCCGACGTGTCCGGAGGGGCATTATGGGAAGATGTGCTGAAACGGTGCGTTTTCAAGTACGGGATGGCCCCGAGGTCCTGGACTGATTACCTCAGCTTGACGGTGGGCGGGACGTTATCCAACGCCGGCGTCAGCGGTCAGGCTTTCCGTTACGGTCCACAAACGTCAAACGTTACGGAGCTACAAGTCGTTACGGGGAAAGGCGAAATTTTCAATTGCTCCGAAACCGAAAACTCGGAGCTCTTTTTCGGAGCGCTTGGCGGACTCGGACAGTTCGGTATCGTCACCCGAGCTAGGGTTTTGCTCCAACCAGCCCCAGACATGGTTGGTATTTCAGAAATTCAGATTTTTCATCATTTTATTTTTGTTGGCTTCCCAAATTCATTAGTAAAAGAAAAAATTATAAAAATTGCTACATTCTAACCATAAATTATCGGTGGGACTGAGTGCATGAGAGACACGTTTGCTGAACGTAATTATGGATTTTTTTATGTGATTAGGTGAGATGGATAAGGCTGGTGTACACCGAGTTTGAGGACTTCACTCGGGACGCCGAGTTACTGGTGACTCGGCAGGACGAGGAGGACTCGTTTGATTACGTGGAAGGCTTTGCCTTCGTCAACAGCGACAACCCGGCAGATGGGCGGCCCTCCGTGCCGTTGGATCCGGACCAGGTCTTCGACCCGACCCATCTTCCACGAACCGCCGGATCAATGCTCTACTGTCTCGAACTGGCTCGTCACTACCGCAACGCTGACGACCCCTCAATTGTTGATATGGTAATTAACTTTGATAAAAGAAATAAAAGTTATCTCCTGCGTCTTGTCCTAGGATAACAAATCTGCACCCTAACTTGCTGGCCATTCAAGAGCTTGATTCTATAGTTTGCGTCATGGCTCTGCTTTTATGGCCCCCACAAAAGTACAGTTTATTTTTTTTGGGTAGGGCCATGCAGTGATGACTGAGTTTTGACCTAGGTGGTTGCTAAGTAGGCCCCACAGCCGCGAAGATTTTGACCTCGAGTGGGTTAAGTGCGTCCCCGCGCAAAACCGTCTACCGCCGGACAGTGAAAAAGTCAAAACAAACCCTCTGAAGTGAACTCAGTCTCACACGTGTTCGAAGCTCGTTGATGGAGGACGGCTTTATTCTCCCTTCTCCATCATCACTCTTCCCATTCACCATTTCATTTCATGCCCCTCACTCACTCTGTCTGTGTACTTTCGTCTTCTAATATATTATTATTATTATTTTCCGACTTTTTAAAAAAAGATTTTAAATTTTTTTATTTAGTTTTCATCTTATAGGAAGTTTTCTTTCTGTCGCTTGCTACAACTTGAGACTGACAATACGCCAATAGTGTATCTTACTATCTCCCGTTGGATTTTCTGACATAGTACTTATCTATCAAAACCCTTGAGGTTCGCTCTTAATTACCAGAATGACACTCTTTTCCCGGGATAAAATGGTAATAACAGGCGTCAGTAGACGTTTGATGATTGGGATTTTGCTGACGGCGTGGTCCCCATAGTTCCGCAAATGGCCAAATTGCCATCATTTTCTGGAATCTGTAAATAATGAATGTATGTCCCTTGTGTGGGTGTGTGATGACGGGAATACCCCTGGAGTTTGACGTTATTTGCTGAATTTTTTCTCTGTAGGGCGTGAACAGATTGCTTGGAGGCCTCGGATTCGTTGAGCGATTGAAGTTCCAAGTGGACCTCAGCTACCTCGAGTTCTTATTGCGTGTGAAGCGTGCAGAGGAACACGCCAAGGCCAACGGGATATGGGACGCGCCACATCCTTGGTTGAACCTGTTCGTCTCGAAATCTGATATCGCTGATTTTGATCGGACGGTCATCAAGAAGATCCTCAAGGATGGGATTGGTGGGCCCATGCTCGTCTACCCTCTGCTGCGAAGCAAGTACGTTTTTCCCTCTCCTCCTCAACCCCACTCCTTTAATTATATAATTAATCTTTGCCGTTTAATCCTTGCATTCTTGCCACGTGGAAATTGAGTAGCCTCAGACGAGGTTTACTCTGCTAGCCTCCAAAATTGACACGTGTCCACATATTCCCCCAGGCCCCGCCTTCCCTTGTCACTCTAAATCTTAACGGAAAATCATACCTACATACGTATTTTAGGTTGCTGATCCGTATTAATTTCGATATCCATGCATTTTAGAATGCTTTCTAATAGTTTGTCGGAAAATTAAAATTTAAAAATTGACTTTTTTATGTGTGAAATATAAGCGAGAGTTTAAATTATAAGGTGCTATTTTGTTGGAACACACACTACTTATTTGAGTTCGAACATAAAATTCTTAATCTACAAATAATATCTATTTTTAGTACTAAAATTTGACATTTTATGCCTATTTTTGGTGCATCCAAAATGGTACAAATGATAAACATCATTTTCTGAATCTGATTCGCTGACAAAATTGGATGTAATTTAAAATCGGGTGGTTAAGATTCCGACGGTAGGTCAAATATTTTCTACTTATAAGGTCAAGTGGGACCTCAACGTTACTCCACTTTTTCTTATGTGCGGACAGCTGATGATGGTTGTACCATCTTAAACCTGCACCCAACCGTAGCGGATCGGCACCACATTGCATTTCATGAATGATCATTATTTACGTCACGTTAGGTTTGGTGGAGCTGTTTGGTTGGGTTAGCGTATAAGCAAACGTAGGAAGACTGACTGGATGAGTACTTGCCGGACAAAGATACAGTGGTTCCCACATTGTAGAATACCCCCTTTTTATTTTCTTTCCTTAAATAGTTTTTTCTATGCTTAATTAGTTCAAAATGGGTCATAGGTTTTGTCGTTTCAAATATTGTTATTTTCCGAATTGAGCCTAAAAGGGTGGTTTCGTAAATTAAAGCCCGTGATATCGATTTAGCCAGACAGGAAGCGTTGGAAATACTGCGAGGGGTATGTTGGTCACGCAGAATTTTCCTCTTTTTACGGAAAATGAGATTTCTTCCGAGTGATGCAACGTTCACGGTGAGTCTCATGCCATTTCAGAAACGACAAGGAATATGCATATCGACACCATGATTTTGTCTGGCTCAAAACTCCACTTTCTGGTGTACGAAAATACCCCCTCTTGTTGATAGATCCATAACGAAGCTTTCAACCAATATAAAATACCCCTCTTGCATTTGTTTTACTTGGTAGTTGCCATTAGCTTAATTGTTTAATTACCTTTAATTAATCAGCTGTAACGTTTGATTAAATGTGATCAGGTGGGATACGCGTACATCAGTGGCGCTACCAGAAAGTGAAATCTTCTACATAGTGGCATTGTTACGTTTCACTCCACCATACCCAAAAGGTCCCTCGTTCGAGAATTTGGTGGCCCAGAACAAAGAAATTATACAATATTGCACCAAAAAGGGGTTTGATTTCAAGTTGTATCTGCCTCACTATCGATCGCAGGATGATTGGAAGCGGCATTTTGGAAATGATCGATGGTCGAGATTCGTGGAGCGGAAGACCTGCTTTGATCCAATGGCCATCCTTGCTCCTGGACAGAAAATTTTCCCTAGGGTTTCTCAACCCTAACGGTAGAATAAATAGTCATTGTCGCAATGTAATTGTTTTGTGTTGGCATCTTTTTTCTCTGAATTAGTTTCTGCTGGTGGGTCAGTGTCAGTGCCATTGTTATCAAAATTGACATTCGACAAAGAATGTGTTGGAGCAATTAATGATGTAAAGAAATAGTTTGAGCGAGAAATTTTGATCGTTTTCATGTATTTGTTTTTTTGTTAATTAAACATAAAATAAAAAGCCAAAAAAAAAGGATGGAAGTATTATCAGGGAAACAAACAAGTCAATGATATGACCATTATGCTCCTAGATTGAAATGCGGCCATTATCATCTCTCTCTGTGCAAACTCAATTATGAATGACATTGATGGTTACAAATTATCATGACAAGCCAATCTCTTTTTATTTTTTTCCTTCTTTTGCTTTCCCTTTACCCCTTTTTCTAAGGTGAATTATTTAATTTAATTTAATTTGGACCGTTCAATTTACTCATGTATTTGTCCAGGATAATCTGAACTGGCCTTGATGTTCAGTTCGAGATGATTTGACTACAACTTGGCCAAAGGGCTCAGTTTATCTTTTCAACCAAAAAATAAAGGAGATGGAAAAAAGTGTAGCTAATTAGGCGTGTAGTTAGGCATCAGATTCTCTTTTCATGCAAAAGAAATCAAATTGCCATGCATTATCGATTCGGTTTCTTGTTCACAAGCCTCGAGCTTTGCTTGTTTGTTTGGTTTCAAGGAAAATCAAATCTATCTTGGTTTCTTTATCCAACCACTTTTCTCTCCCCTTTATTTTCTTTTCCCCTTTCATATCTCTTCTTTTTCCTCCCATGAAAAGTAGAGAAAAGTTGAACTAGGGTGGGCCCCCCGTCCGGCTTGAGAAGGCAATTATAAGATCATGATTTCTTGTAAGGTGCACCAGAGCCACACCCAAAGCCAAAGCCAGCGACAACTTACTAGTAGTTACTACTAATAAGTAATCAGAGAGAGCTTCCTCGGTTAATTAATCCCATGCAGAAAAGCATCCTGTACGTCCTTTGTAAGCGTGTCATGCAACCACGTGTTGTACTTTAAAAAAACACAAAACAAAATAAAAGACGAATTTTACAGGCTTTGTTCCTGTTTGTAGCGTACAATTGTATCACAAAACGCAAACCATACACAAATTTTTATATTAATTAGTATCGTGTAATTGATTCTTTCTCGTATATGTTTCACATGTTGGAAGATTTGAATCATGCAAAAGGCTGCTTGCTACACTTTGAAAACCGATGCAGTGGAAACCATCTAGAAGAGTGGAAGCTAATCTATGGATATATATTCCAGCAAGTCGTACGTACACTGTACACACCGCACCACCTCCCAAAAGTAAAAGAGAAATAACCTTGACACTTGAACCAGTTACCTTTAAGCACGTGATGCTATCAACTTAATTTACTAAGAGAAACTTGTGTGATATTTTTAGGCCAACTTGTTTAAGATTGGATCGACCTCAACAACATCAGGCCTATGGAGGCCTGTTTTGCAATTTTGATCGGGTGAGGGATTGGGCTCAAAGTGTATTATGATGATTGAAATTGGGAAGCATAGTGGGCAGGGCAGTTCAATGATGGTGTCGGCCATTTTTGGTGGAGAGTATTCTATAATGACATCTTGATATCAAATAGGTTAGTTTGATTTAACGATTAAGAGATAGATACAGAATTTTAGTTTTGGAGGAAAGGACAGCCTTTAGGCACTGTGGTGGAAGATTTTCAAGTTTTTTATGACCTTACGGATTTACCAACATCTTTTTGTCACCATTGGATTGGTTATGTCCAGGGGACCTACATGTTCCCCTATTGGAAGTTGATGACTCTGTCTAATGTCCAAGGTTCCCAAATGGGTAGTGCTTATCATTCTTAATTATCAAAGTTTAAGTTTCCTTTTCTTTAATTGTTTTTAGGAGTATTTTCTTAAGGACGTGTGTTAACGAGTAAGCTCTCATGGTATCTGTGTTGGTTGGATTGGCCAAGATATTTGATGTGCTCTCAAGTGGTTATGGATTCATTCTCATGGTACTTGTGTGTGTGAGTATTCCCCTCTCCTCCTTTCTAACTTTGACCCCAACAAAAAAGAAAAGAAAAAAGTAAGCCGTGCCATTAACCTCTTTATAAACATTACTTATTGCTCGTGTATTTGACTTTCTTTTTTTAACCAAAATTTTATGGAGTTTCAAACCTGACACCATATGTTAGTAACTTTATGTGTCTGCACATGCTAGAGTAAGGAAGCTTGCACATTTTTAAAATGCGTAATAACCATATACTGCGAGTATTGACACTTGTATTTTAATGGTAAAACAGAATGTAAACTGCAACTTGTTAAGTTGTTATGCATCCCCATGTGAAATGTGGTTACAATTCCTTTAGTTGTGAACTTTATTGCTTACTATCTCTTCTCCGTCTCTATACCACTGGCCATTGCATTACATCAGTGATGTTTTCAACTACTTTAATTTGTCAGGAGCAAAGAGAACCACCCAAGTCCTGTGAGTTTGATTCTATTGATGCATGCAAATTTCTTCTGTTGAATTTAAAAAGTCAAACCAACTCTGCCATGAAAATTGTAGGTTAGAGAGATTCTGATGCCTATATATCTTGTGTAGGCCGACCAAGAGGGTCAGGCTGCTGGATTTGCCCATTCACCCAACTGCAACTTGTTATTATATCCGACATCTCAAAATTCAAAGCTGAATAAGATTTCATCAGATTTATGCTTTTGAATTCTCCTGTGCTTGAGGAGACGGTGGCTGGGCCTGCTTATGAATCATGATGATGGTCATTTGGAGTTTGTTAAACAGTTGCTCCGGTTAAGGCGTGCCTAAGTGCATTCGGAGATAAACTTCTCTCGAACCGACCGCTTTGGAACATGATTCATCACTAAACTTAGAGGTCTCGCTTGAAAAAATGAATGTTTGTTTGGACTGTTGGGCACAAGTCTTTATGGGCTTTCTTTCTTTAGCCGAATTGAACTATTTGAGGCCTGGTTTATAATTTTAATCGGCTGAATGCTTGGGCTTTTCAGGGCTCAAAGTATATTTTCATGTTTAAAATTTGGAAGCATAGTGCTGCTGTCGACCATTTTTGGTGGAAAGGACAACCTTTAGGCGCTGCTGTGTAAGAATTTCAAGATTTTTAAGGACTCGCGGACTTACCAACATCTTTTTGTCACCATTGGTTATGTCCGTGGGACCTACGTGTTCCCCTATTTGGGAATTGATGACTTTGTCTAATGTCCAAGGTTCCCAAATGGCTAATGCTTAATCATTCTTAATTATCAAAGTTTAAGCTTTCTTTTCACTAATTTTGTTTACCAGTCCTGCTAATGGCGTTTCTTAAGCACACTTGTCAACGACCTAATTAAGTCAAACCAATCTTATTGTAATATTATATTTATTTAATGCATAAACTAAACCATGAAAAACAACATTCATCTTATGTAGCGCGAGCTTGAAAAAATATACAAAACGAATGTAGTTTTTAATTTAAATTTTAGGCAATCATGGTCTGTTTTTTACTTTTAATATTCCTTACTCATTAACTAAGAATAAGGATTCTCATAATTTCTCATACAATAATAGTGTCGTTTATAATTTTCCTTTTAGGAGGGAAAATCATGATATAAGATTTAGACTCGAAGGGAAAAAAGAAGCCAATATAACTAGAAAAATAACAAAAGAATAAAGAAGAAATGCAAGAAACTTGGTGAGAAGTACAAGAAACTTATCAAGGAAGGAAACAAGACCAACCAATGGTAAAAGGAAAGAAAAAGTAAAGAAAAAAGAAGAAGAAACGGTGTCGTATGGATTCCAGCATTTATATATAGTATTGTTAATAATATAATTATTTTTAAGGTAGCTAGACTCTCTTGCAGACTTTGAGTTTCCGTTCGAAGTAGAAAAACACAGATTATATCAGAGCACTCGAGGGTACAACAACAAAAGCGTCCACCGCAAATAAGCTCTCAGGATCTTATCAGATCCACTAAAATTCTTTCTCGTCCTCCCTATGTTTGTTAATTAGTTTGTACATTAATGTAGATATCGATCAATTCCTGTGTTGCTGTACCGAGCAATCAAATTTCAAAAATTGAATCGACGCTCTCGCATTTCTAGGGTTTCTTGAGTTGTTTCATCATTTCTGCGTCAATTAGGGTGTTAATTTAGGAGGAGGAGTGAGCAGGGCGTAAAAATGGGTCGGATCGTGACCTAGGGTTTGCAGAGGTCCGAGGTTTTCCTTCGAGTGCATGAAGATTTGGTGCTGCCTATGCTTCACCCAAGAAGACGAACCAGAAGAGGAAGATAGCGAGGCGGAGCCGATCATGAAGGAGGGAAATTTCGAAAATGAGGGCAACGCGGAGGGCGTTGCCGGAAATGGCGAGGAAGCCGAGGGGAACGTTCCAAGATTAGGGCTTGCATCCATTGACCCTGGCCGCGACGGCAACGGCCATCTACGAATGTTCGAAGGGATGGTCCAAGCAATGCGTGGTGGTGCTCAATGGGACGAGTCGGTCTGCGTTGGCGCTCTTGCGACGTTGAGGGCCGCGATTAGGAGTCCACGGCTATCCGAGGGCGAGAGTAGCTCGGCTTCCGCCGCAGACGACGGTGATCACGATTCGCACCATAAGCGAGCCAAAGTTCACTCCTTTTCTCAGTGAGCTTCTAACTCTCTAACCGTCTGCTTCTATTATTTTTGGGCTTTGTTTCTCTCGGTTCTCAGTTAACTTGATTGTTAAGTTTTAGGTAATTTACTCATGGGTGTACTAAAGCTTTGAACTTACTAGCAACTGGGTTGTTAATTGGGGCTTTATGATTCACAGATGTGTTTTATAATTGATAGTGGTTTGTGCGAGTTCATGTCTTTGAGTATTTGGTTCTAGTATAATTTGATTTTCAACTGGGCACAGTTGACATTACCATAATGATCTTGCGTGCGTATCTTCTATTTACTGTTTGTTTGGAGAGATCTCTCGTACTCTATGTTTAGTGCTGCAATGAAGGCGGGGGCTTACGTGTTTGCTCGACATGAATTAATTTTTTTCATGATCTAAACCTTTTCTCTAACATGAGCAATCATTTAAAGAAATAATTCACATCAAATTTAGAAGGTAGTCACAGTAGACATGCTTAGAAGACTCTCATCGATAGAAGACTATTCATAATGTATTTTGAGCTTAAAATGAATTTGTAACATGGCATTTGTGCTACATTGTCTCTCATACTTATGA